TATTTTATGTATTCTCCCCAATTGTTTTTTTTTTTCAATTTATTTGTGAGCAACCTATCTGCCCTATTACTCTTATAATACCAATTTATCTTTAAGGATTGTAGAGTTCTATTTTTCTCCTCAAATAATAATTCATTTATACTATTTTGCGTTAATAACATTTTTATACTTATCTCCTGAGTTGGTGCAGCTTTGTTTTGATTAGATAATTTATAATAGTCAACATATAAATCCTTCAAAGATTTCCCCTTCTTTTTTTTATCAATTGTACCTGGTTTAATTAGATAGCCTCTTGTAACACATTTATATGCATTCCATACTACTGGTAATGAAACTTCTCCTCCCGCATTTTCCTGAAAAAACCTTTCTGTCATCTCCTTAATGTATTCTCTATTTTCTTTTCTAGATAGGATGTTGTCATTTAATCTCCAATTCGATCTTCTAGCCCCCTTATTCTCTATATCCAACTCCAGGATTATAGCATTATGGTCTGACCATGAAACTTCGTCTATAAGGACTTTTTTAGTACAATTGACCAAATCATCATTTCCCGAGGATAAATCAATTCTTGAATATGAGAAATCGGATCTGGAAAAACATGTAAAATCCCTCTCAGTTGGATGAAACGCTCGCCATATATCCATTAATCCATAATTCCTGAGTATCTTTCGAAATTGGTCTGCCTGAGAAATTGCAGATTTATTTGGTCCTGCATTATTTAATGTTTTTTTATCTAAACTAGCATCCAAAATCCGGTTAAAATCCCCCGTTACTAGTAACTTACCCTGTTTTATTTTTTCAACTTTATTTAAGAGATCACAGAAATACTTATTAGAAGGATTATTGGGTGCGTAAAGATTAACTAAAATATATATATCTGTTTGAATTTTGATTATCAGGATTATAACTCTGGCTTCCTCGTCTGTTTCTTGATAGATTAATTTAGCATCTGTATCATCACTTATCAGAATGGTCACCCCTCTCTTAAAAAAATTTTTTTACAATTTAAAAACAACACACATAAAAGTATAAAAGCAATAAAAATATGTAATATATTTAATTCACAACGCATTTTGATAGAAAGTGAAGAAACTGAGGTTCTGAAGTACACTGAATTTATAGGACATTGCACATTGGAAAGAAGACGGGCAGATGAAAACATGTACATGTGACTGCAATAACAATCACATGACTGGCATATTAACATTGGAAAATGTAAAAATAAAAAGGTACTTTGTGTTTCATAAAAGATATCGTTATACCAAATAAGTGAGGAGCTTTTCAGACAGATAGGAGATTTGTGGTTCAAATTGAACTAGATAACGTATAGTTATTAGGTGAGTTAAACATACAGAACTACAAGGACCATGATGCTTAGCAATAAAAGTCTGATCATCTGATTGGAACTTAAGGAGAGATCAGTTGGGACATCTAAATGTGTAAAGAAATAGAACTATGGAAGCTAAGCATTATTGCCCTCGCAGTTTCATTTGTACTATTTTGTTACATGAATTGACCATGTTACGCTTTCCAAATAGCGAATTGTGAGCTTTTTTTTTAAAGCGCAATTTTTATTTGTTAGTGTAAACTTATTTGTTTTTTACAATTTTTACCGTTACACTATAATTTTTATTATGGTTTTTATCATATGTTTCAAATGTATCCAGTATTTTAAAACATTGTGTATAAGAGAAGGTATTGGTAATTTGGTATGTAATAGTATCTATCCTCTGCTGGGAATTATTCACTATCTCTTTAGACATACTCACTGAGTGCACTTTTTATCTATTTTATATTTGTTTAGATTTTTTTATTACTGTTCTGTGTGCTGGAGCCAGCTTTCAAAATATTTTTTGTCGATTGTCTAAAATATATTGATGGTGAAGGTCACCAGTGACACTCTTAGTATATAGATCAAATCATAATGGGTGTTTACATTGCCATTCAAGGTACTGCTTTTATTTTTAAATCAGAAACTATCATTTTATATTGTTACAAAACTCTTCAAACAAACAAATTAATAATAAATGTGGTAAAATCTTTAATTCTATTGTTCCCTAAGGAAAATGTTCATAGTCTCTGGATTTAGAAAGTTCAAATCTGTATGCCATTCCAAATGCAGACTTGCTACAATAAACAGACTTTATAAATAACAAAATATTCCAGATTTCTCCTGAAACTTCTGACTGTCTTACTACTTTGAATTTTGTCATTAAATATATTTAGAATTTAAGACTATATTATTGATATTTGCTGGTATTAATGACAAATGGCAGAATATACAGGTTTCCTTATTTTCCATGTATTTATTTCATTTTGTTTTACATTTTTTATTGCACTGGTTTAAAAAAAAACTTACATTTTTATATTCTTAATTGATTGTTTTAAACAATGTTTTGGGAATTTGTGCCATATTTCAAACAATCTATTGTAAAGTATAAATTTCAGCATTCATTTTTATGTGAAGGCCAAAAATGAAAGATTAAAACTCTGACATTTTTCCAAATTTGGGACCAGACCGTGATCTTCATGCGAGACACGGCAAAGGCACATTACAAATGAGAGTTTACAGTCCTTAAATGATACCCAGGAAATAACGAAACTATTTAAAAACAATGGAACCTCAGTAAATAAGAAGATTAGTCAGAAAACTCTGATAGATGAAAGCACAAGTTTATTAGGAGAGAGCTGGGGAATCAGTCTAAAACCCGAGATAACCTGATAACTTGAATATACATTTCTCTGTAATTGCTGCATAAAGAATGATTTTATTCAATTCTTGACTTTTATCTCCAATCCTGAGAGGTAATTGTCTGTTCCATTGACTGCGGTCCACATGAAGACAATACTTTGTGAGATAGGAAACCGAAGCATCCAGCATGTTTTAGTAATAGAATAAATTAATTGTCCAAAAACAAGTATTTCAAAAGAACAATAGCAAAATCATCAAAAGACATGTTTGCTGAGGAGTGTCACAAAATATTCGTTATTTCTTTGGCTAGATGGCATTTCACGTTAAATTCACAGAGGATGGTTTGAAAAGCCATCTTTAGGAAGCAAATTAAAGTTTAGTTAAAGTATTTGGATATCAGCAGGAATTATTTTTTTTTTCAATTGGATTGTCTGTATCAAGGGATACAAACTAACAGAATAAGGACAGTATTTAACTGGCAACTTCTCTTTTATCTATAGAGGAACCGGCAACTGAGATCTGTGAAACCTGTTTTCAAATCAGAGGCACAAAGCCACATACTTTTGCAATATTATAGGTTTTTAAATAGAAATTGCTCTAAATCCAGTTGGACTCACTCACTATGTGTTCCACTATGTTTTCTGAAGCTATTTAATGCTTACGATAACAAGGACTTCACCTAGCAAGCATTAATACAAAAAAAATAAATCTTTATTATTTTAGCCATACACTGCTTTAAGATTAAAGAGAAATATATATATTATTATTATTGCTATTTTTATAGCGCCAACAGATTCCCTAGCGCTTTACAATAATATATATATGTATATGGAATAACCCCCACCACCTTACAGGCTAGTGCATCCACCAATACCTTGCCCACCAAGTGTCAGGACAGTCCCTATTTCTATCCTAATGTCCCTCTTTTCCAGGAGCTCCATGTTGTTGATGTGTCTGAGTGTAAATATTCCCAGTAATGTGTCTGAGTGTATAACGGAGCTCCACAGCAATAATACTCCCAGTAATGTGTCTGACTGTATCACAGAGCTCCACAGCGATAATACTCCCAGTAATGTGTCTGAGTGTATAACGGAGCTCCACAGCAATAATACTCCCAGTAATGTGTCTGACTGTATCACAGAGCTCCACAGCGATAATACTCCCAGTAATGTGTCTGATTGTATAACAGAGCTCCACAGCAATAATACTCCCAGTAATGTGTCTGAGTGTATAACAGAGCTCCACAGCAATAATACTCCCAGTAATGTGTCTGAGTATATAACAGAGCTCCCCAGCAATAATACTCCCAGTAATGTGTCTGAGTGTATAACAGAGCTCCACAGTAATAATACCCCCAGTAATGTGTCTGAGTGTATAACAGCTGCACAGGTATAATACTCCCAGTAATGTGTCTGAGTGTATAACAGAGCTCCACAGCAATAATACTCCCAGTAATGTGTCTGAGTGTATAACAGAGCTCCACAGCAATAATGCTCTCAGTAATGTGTCTGACTGTATCACAGAGCTCCACAGCAATAATACTCCCAGTAAGGTGTCTGATTGTATAACAGAGCTCCACAGCAATAATACTCCCAATAATGTGTCTGAGTATATAACAGAGCTCCCCAGCAATAATACTCCCACTAATGTGTCTGAGTGTATAACAGAGCTCCCCAACAATTATACCACCAGTAATGTGTCTAAGTGTATAACAGAACTCCACAGCAATAATACTCCCAATAATGTGTCTGAGTGTATAACAGAGCTCCACAGCAATAATACTCCCAGTAATGTGTCTGAGTGTATAACAGAGCTCCACAGTAATAATACTCCCAGTAATGTGTCTGAGTGTATAACAGAGCTCCACAGCAATAATACTCCCAGTAATGTGTCTGAGTGTATAACAGAGCTCCACCTCAATAATACTCCCAGTAATGTGTCTGCGTGTATAACAGAGCTCCACAGCAATAATACTCCCAGTAATGTGTCTGAGTGTATAACAGAGCTCCACAGCAATAATACTCCCAGTAATGTGTCTGAGTGTATAACAGAGCTCCACAGCAATAATACTCCCAGTAATGTGTCTGAGTGTATAACAGAGCTCCACAGCAATAATACTCCCAGTAATGTGTCTGAGTGTATAACAGAGCTCCACAGCAATAATACTCCCAGTAATGTGTCTGAGTGTATAACAGAGCTCCCCAGCAATAATACTCCCAGTAATGTGTCTAAACTACAATAAATGTGTTTAGAAAAAAATCAGTCTGTGTAAATTAGATACATTGTTCTTGTTCTAAAAGTCCTACCTCTGGCCACAAGCCCACTTACACCCCTAAAAATAAAGTGTCCCTCTTCGTCCATTGTGAAGTTGGGAGGCAATTTTACACGTTTTCTATAACCATCAGCTCTGTGAGGTTAAATGTAATAGTTCCAAGTTTAGATTGACTTGAAGTTTCATATTTATCTAAGAATTTTCACGACCCAATATTAATGTAATTGTATTGTATTGTATTCCTATTGCTTCAGCCCCTTCTATAATTGTAAAGCGCTGCGGAATATGTTGGTGGTATGTAAATGCTAATAATAATAAATCGGTGACATGTGACAGTAGCTCTCCGTACATAAGTCCTTAAAACACTTTTCTCTCATCAAAGCTATCATTTGCTGTGTTCATTGTATTCCATGAGGTTAAAAAAAACGTATATAACTGCTATTCTGTGCTGGAATTGTGATCAATAGCAGTTTTCTTAAAAGCTGATGATATTTTGGACAGGACTTTATTAAAGATAGATGAATTCTTATTCTATGAGTTTTCATTGAGAATCCATCAAATCTTAATAAACTGTTGTCACCGGTTACAGAAGTAAAAAAAACAAGAGTTTCGTTTCTGTTACTGGGCCGAGCCACTCACATCAATAATGGTGAAAGAGCAAAATTGGATCATTTTAGGTAAAAAGCTCTCATTATAAACATAGTACCAGACAGAATCTGTACAATTAACGTGGAACCATGTCATTTCCATTCTTGATATTTTATAACAATATTTATAATAATATTATTAATAAAACAAAACATAATTGCTGGATAATATGCGTCATCAAACAGCAAAGCCAATGTTTGTATAAAATTGCATTGTTTTGTTGGTTAAGCTTGCTAGAAGCACATTAGCAAGATTCTGAATGGAATGAAGTCATTAAACTTTACTGGCTCTAAGAGAACAGCAGGGGATAGATCGGGGACCAACACATGGAATTGTCAGTTAGAATGAGAGAATCATTTAATCAGAGGCAATATGAGACCAGACAAACTGTATTTCTTTCTCTAACTACACCTGGGACAGCTCCACCTACTGTCTAGCATAGACATTGCTACAGGGGAAATGGGGGGGGGGGAAGGGGCAATTCTCCCCTCTAGATTATAAGGGCACCTCCGTGAAACTTGTCCAATTAGGTGGTGGTGCACTTTAAGAGGAGGCGCCCGAAGTGCCCTGCACTCACCACTAGGACCACCAGGGCAGCATGGTCCCCCTCCCAGGCATAAGGTAAGAAAGGTAAGAAGGCAGGGGGGATACAATGCTGGCTTTTTAAAAAAAAAAATAATAATGAAAAAAATACATATATAATGACATTAACCTGGCTCCCCCAACACACAATTCCTACAAACATATATACACACACACAGCATCCTCTCACACACACACAGCATCCTCTCTCTCTCACACACACACAGCATCCTCTCACACACACACAGCATCCTCTCACACACACAGCATCCTCTCACACACACACAGAGTATCATCTCACACACAGCATCCCCTCTCACACACACACACACTTCATCCTCTCACACACACACACAGCATCCTCTCACATACACAGCATCCTCTCGCACACACAAAGCACTCTATCTAACACACAACATCCTCTCACACACACAGCATCCTCTCGCACACACAGTATCCTTACACACACACACACACACACAGCATCCTCTCACACACACAGCATCCTCACACACACACACACAACATCCTCACACACACACATCCTCACACACACACACACACACAGCATCCCTCACACACAAACACAGCACCATCTCACACACAAACAGCATCCCTCACACACACACACACAGAATCCCTCCACACACACATACACACACAGCATCCCTCCCCACACACACACACACAGCATCCCTCCCCACACACACAGCATCCTCACACACACACACACACACAACATCCTCACACACACACAAACACACACACAGCATCCTCTCACACACACACAAGCATCCCTCCACACACAGCATCCTCCTCAAGACACACACACACACACAAACAGCATCCTCTCACACGCACACACAGCATCCTCTTGCACACACACACACACAGCATCCTTTCTCACACACACACATACACACACACACACACATCATCCTCTCATACATACACACACACACACCATCCTCTCTCACACACACACACACACACACAAACAGCATCCTCTCTCACACACACACAGCATCCTCTCACACACACAGCACAATCACACACTGCTCACTCACACACTACTCACACACTACACTGACTGTGAAATCTTATGTGCCAACTCACCCCCCTATATGTTGTTCCTAGAGTCGCCACCGCAGTCCAGTAAACCAATCCCACTCGATATGTATCTATACATATATAATGAATGATCTTTTATCTCCAACAACTTTTACCTAATGATGCCGGTAGTGTCATCATTTGGAATAGTTAAAGGGTTACTATCCAGTGACTGAAGTGTTTATGGTGCCTGGAGTCAGTATGTGCAGCATTTCAGAGTTTAACCCCTTTTCTTCCTGAGGTGTAACTCTACCTCCAGCAGCATCATAGAGGCATTGTGGTCTGAGTTCCAGACTGGTTAATGTCAATCCATGCGCAGCGTGCCAGTGGCTGAGAGTGGTCAATGAGGGGTGACTGGATCGGCTTCCGGCTTCAGCAGCTGTAGTGATTATCATGGTGGAGAAACCGTTTAATGTTTTTCTGTAAATCACATTACTTTACCATTATTATTTGCTCTGTTTTGCCCATTTTGTCATCACAGGAACGTTTTGTCCTCATTGATTTCAATCGGTAATTTTCTCAGGAATTTATTCACGTAGTTTGTGGTCAGGATGAGAGAGGTGTCATGGGAAATAAAAATAGCTTTAGAAGGAGAATCCTGGTATTCAGACGAATAAAGATTGTGGATATAAAAATGATTCTGATTTGTTTATTGTTTGATGCCAAGTACATGTAGATTTTAATAAAAAATACATTGATTAAAACACCATGGCTCACTCCCAGAAACACTTTCCATTGATTTCTAATAAAACATCAGTGACACATTCAATCATGTGCAATGCTGCATGTGAAACACATACTTTTTAAAAATAATAATTCTAATGGTTTGTGTAGTGGATTTGCAGAGATTTTTAGTTTGCTGTAATTTGCAGAAGCTGTTTTCATTATTTTCCTATGCATTAAAGTTTTATGATATAATTCTGGTTTAGCTCCAATTAATTGTTATAGTAAATGCTTTATATTTCATTTTTGTTTGTGCTGAGTGTCTCATACTAATAACACATACACTTAAAAATAAGCAGTAAATATTGTGTGCATTCTGTGTATGTAGGTGTGTGTGTGTGTGTGTATGTGTAGATTGGGAATCCAGTCCGGATTCCTATTGGGCTGAGCGCCCCACCTATCCACTATAGGTTCCCCTTTGGAGGGGACCACAGGAATGTATACAGTGAGTGGCTCTGGAAGCAATTTAAGCTGTAAGTATTACAGTTAGCATGTTACTGTCCCATATTAAAATTAGTGTGGGACCCACCGATATTGGGGTACTGTGACATAGTGGCAGACTTAACACAATATGGCCATATGGTGAAACTGAACCCCATATTTGTTTGCCAAAGTAGGTGATTTTAAATTTGTGAAATTGAAAACTGTATTTTGTGTGTGTTCTGTTCCCTAATCTGTATTTTGTGTTTGAATTTGTGCGTGTCTGTGCATGCCGTATGATTTGGTTAGAGAATTACCTTTGTTTCTATAATCAGAACGCTACATACTCTGCTTGTCCCAACTTTGGGCGTAGTTAGTCTGTAACATTTTTATAACTACTGCTTTTGCAATATATCTATAATGATTATCGTATGTACAACAGTACGTAAAGCTGTAACTTGTGAAAAATAAAAACATTTATATATAAAAAACTAAGCTGTTTAGACAGTTCCAGATTATTCCAAAGAAACAAAGTTAGATTGTTAAAAGTGTTTTTTATTTTGCAATTAATGAAACAGAGTTGAGTAATTAAATAATACAGTTTACTGTACTCATTGGGTAATTATTCACATTTTACGTTCTTTGAGTATGTTCAAGCACATCTGAAAAGCCTTATTGATCGTCTTTGAAGCAGAAAGTGCTGAGTTTGTCCATTGATGTTGCCCAAGCAGGCCAAACCGTGAAGATCTTCCCGAAGTGCTGATTTCCTGCATAAAAGACTGTACTTTCGCTGGTAGAATCAGTGTTAATTAAAGCGATTGATCTGTATTGTTAAGTAACCACGATTTACAGCATGTTGAAATATTGTCAATATGTCTCCAAAGCAAGAAACAAAAACAACAATAATTTGTAGACCAAGGGAAGATTAAAAACAAAAAAACACATCTGGCTTGTCAGTGTCATTAGGATAAATTCAGTCATCATAATTGTGTGTAGATTATTAGCAGATTGACGTGTATGTCTGAGAATTACAGATACGGAAAGAAACACGATGGGTACACTGTAAAGAGATCATTATTAAAGAGACACTCCAGGCTCAACTTTACTAATTATTGTTTAACTTGTAATTTAGCTGATACATTCAAATATATGCAAAAACAACATATGAAATTCTAAATTAAAAGATAATAATTTCTTTGTTTTTTTCAGTATGTGATACAGTTATGCGTGGTTGGAATAATCATACAGAAATTACTTCCAGGTCAAAAAGAAACGTTGCCGTAATGTGAGCGGAACCTAAAACAAAGCTAACAGAACCTTTGTAAAAAATACATAATATAAAAGAAAGTGGATATCGTAGAAATCTGTATTAATCGTACAGAAAAACAATAAAAACTGTAAAATTCTTCTGAGTGAAACAACAAAATAATTTTATGTAAGTAGGATGCAAAAACTATTCATCTGTAAAACACTTCTCCAAACTAGTATTGAAAATAATAAAGATGAAAAGCAGAGAATGATCTGGCCATTTAACACAGTCATTGATTCTAGCCAGAGGCACGCTATGCGGGGTATGAGAGATGCCAAGCAACTATTCTCCTGAAAGTCTCTGCACGCTATGTGGGGTATGAGAGATGCCAAGCACTCATTCTCCTGATATTCTCCTGAAAGTCTCTGCACGCTACCCGAGGTGTGAGGGGTGCCAAGCACCCATTCTCCTGATATTCTCCTGACATTAGCACACTATGCGGGGTGTAAGGGGTGCCAAGCACTCATTCTCCTTAA